GCCCTGAGCTGACCTGGGAGAGGGTGCGCTCTCAGGTTGACCACATCATCTGGCCCGATGGAAAGAGGGTTGTTCTGCTTGCAGAGGTGATGTCACTCTACAGAACTATATCATTACAGAACCGTGTCCTTTAAAATCTTATGATTAGTTTTAGCACACCATTATGTGTCAATGTCTACACTGCTGTTCATGTATGAACTCTGTTATTTCTCAGGGCCGCCTCTTAAACCTGAGCTGCTCCACAGTGCCTACGTTTGTGTTGTCCATCACTGCTACAACTCAGGTTAGTAGTTTGGCCCTCTCCATCACTGACACTGTTTTCCCTCTCACTGCACCACCCTGCTGTTCTGTCGTGTCCTGTCCCTCACTGCTGGTATATATAACCATTGTATGGTCTCTGTCGCCTGCAGGCTCTGGCCCTGATCGAGTTGTTCAATGCTCCAGAGGGACGTTACAAACAGGATGTGTATCTGCTGCCCAAGAAGATGGGTAAGAAACAAATTTACTTTGATTTATATTTTTGACTAATAGATTAAGTATGAGAATGATACATTAGTTAAAAAGCTATGGCCAGTTTGTTGCTCATTGTTGCCCCCATGTGACAAGACCTAAAAATTACATTGTCCAGTGAGCCAAATATCTTTCCACACCATGTTGATTCCTGTCTGTCTCTGTCCTCCAGATGAGTATGTGGCCAGTTTGCACCTACCAAACTTTGATGCCCATCTGACAGAGCTTTCTGACGAACAGGCCAAGTACATGGGCCTCAACAAGAACGGCCCCTTCAAACCTAATTACTACAGGTAGGTTTCACCGTATGCCCAGTGGTTAAAAGTTACTAAGTACATTTACTCAAGTACTGCACTTAAAGGACAACTTCGGTATTTTTCAACCTGGGCTCTATTTCCCCATGTGTATGTGTGCGTATGATTCATGGGTACCACTCGTTCTAAAATTGGTTCAGTATAGAGAAGCGAAAAGAGCTAAAACGGTAAAAGGGGCAAATGCGTCCCATATAAAAGTGCTTTTTTTCACCACTGACCGGTTCAGATCGCCAGTGCTATCTCTGTAGATAGCATATTGTAGTGGCCCTGGGGCAGTGGTGACTGTGAATGAGTGGAGTCAGCTGTCAGTCAGTGTTGGAGCAGAGAGGCGGATGGCGTCCCCGCTTGGTATTGTAAATGAGTATGTGTGTGTGAAGTGTGTGTTACGCTAGAAGAGTCAGAGGACGGAGTCTTTTACGTGCTACCCCCTGGAGTGTTACCGGAGTTTTTGGAGTGCTCAAATAAACGGGCCTTTTTCCCGAACGCAAGAACAGGATGTCGCGCAACACCCCGTGAGTTACAGCTTTCACAGGCTGCCTTTGTCGGACCGCGAGATGCTGAAGTTGTAGCTAGTTGTGCTACAAATGGATGCTAACACTCCCCTCCAGACACTGCGCCTTGCAGACCATCGGGTCTGCAGTGCTCACTTCTCCCAAAATGACTACTGCCAGCCGAAGAAGAGAAGACATCCAATCCCGAAACACCTCTTCCTCAAGAAAATGGCTGTCCCACGAGTAGAGAGAGCTACAGACACAGTGGAGCAAAGCTCGTGACACACAGCCCAGAGGTAAGGGAAAGGCTAAGTTAGCATGCTATTTACAGAGATAGCACTGGCGATCTGAACCGGTCAGTGGCGAAAAAACACACGTCTTCACACACACATACTCATTTACAATACCAAGCGGGGACATCATCCGCCTCTCTGCTCCAACACTGACTGACAGCTGACTCCACTCATTCACAGTCACCACTGCCCCAGGGCCGCTACAATATGCTATCTACAGAGATAGCACTGGCGCTCTGAACCGGTCAGTGGCGAAAAAAAGCACTTTTATACGGGACGCATTTGCCCCCATTACCGTTTTAGCTCGTTCCGCAGCTCTATACTGAACCAATTTTAGAACGAGTGGTACCCATGAATCATACGCACACATACACATGGGGAAATAGAGCCCAGGTTGAAAAATACCGAAGTTGTCCTTTAAGTACAATTTTTAAGGCACTTGTACTTTGTTAATGTTTAATTTTAAGTTACATTCTGTTTCTACTCCACCACATTTCAGAGAGAAATACTGTACTTTTTTACTTCACTACATTTATATGTTGACTTTAGTTACTAGTTACTTTGCAGATGAAGATATTAAAAACATATGATGAGTATATTAAATATGATGCAGTTACACAGTAAATTCAAACAACCAACATAAAAACTTACTTTTATACTTTAAATATATTTTCTTTTGGATTCTGAATGCAGGACTTTTGCTTGTGTTTAGTAAAAGATGCTAAAGGTTAACTTTTGTTTTTTTTTTCAACCTGGACCCTTTTAGTTTTTGTTTCGAAGTTAGTAAAGGAGACTACCATTTTTTTAATTGGTCCAGTTTTGAGGGAGACCACTGCAGCCGGCAGTGATGGAATAGGCTGCAATGTAGTCCCTGCGGGTAGTTTAGCACTGTCAATTTATTTCCACTAAAAGTGCTTGTTTTTGCCACTGACAGGCTCAGATTGTTATTATAAGCGTTTGACAACTTTACAGAAAAGATCCATACAGAGATAGAGCTATTTTATCCTATTTTTTTGTTAAACAGTAACTTTTTGCTGAACCAGATGTAGCCTCCCTCATTTTATCATTGTAAAGCACTTTAAAAATCAACAAAAGCAAAATAAAACTGATAAAAGCCATCTTGGTTTGTGTTTCCACTGTCACCAATAATCACCAAATCTGGTTTGGTTGAAATAAAGCTTAATTAAACTCAGTTAGGTGTGAAAATATCCTGGCTCTATATGAGCAAAAATGACTTAATTTAGATGGAGTCTTTGACAATGAGGATTTTGTGGCTGTTTCCAGTTAAACAAAAAGGATCTTACTGTTTAACAAACAGCTCTTTCTCTGTAGGGATCTTTTCCACGATGTTGTCAGACACTTTTAATAACAATCTGAGCCTGTAAGTGGCAAAACCAGGCACTTTTAGTTGACATAAATTGACAGTGCTCAATTGCCCGCAGGGATTACATTTCTGTTCCATCACTGCTGGCTGTAGTGCTCTCTCTCAATACTGGACCAATTTCAAAAATTGTTGTCTCCATTAGTCACTTAGACACAATAATGTGGGAAAATAGAGTTCAGGTTGGAAAAAAAGCAAAGTTACCCTTTAATACTTATCTATATGTTTCACTATTTTTCATTGTCTAACATTTTTTTTATATTTCTATGATGTGTTCACATGTGTACAATAACATACTGTGTGCTTTGTCCACAGATATTAATGAGGGTGTCTGATGCTGTGGTCCTCAGCACAGTTGTTCCTGGGATAAACAGAGATATCTATTTTATTTTCTAAATTGCTACAAAATGGAGGAATTATTTTAATTATGCTGAATGTAACCTATTATTGGCACTTCAGACATAGTGTTAAATAAGAAAAATAAGACATGTAGGAAACATACGATGTATAACCAACTAACATTTTACATGTCTTGTCATGTGTTTAAATGAGAAGCCTGCCTGCATGCTTACATGTGTATGTACTTATTTAGTTGCTACGCTTCTGTTGCTAGATCACAAAGCTGTTGATTTGTTTGTTTACCCTATTTACGCGCAGTGCCAAACGATGGCCGTAAGAATGGAACGGATACCATGTTTGTTTTGTCTGTCGATGACATTATCAGTACATTCCATGAGCCAGGGTTTGGGCTGAGCCGAAACAAACCCTGCATTACAATGTACATTATTTTAGATTAGATTTTGTTTTACATGCGCTAAATAATCTCATTGAATGGTATCTGCATCCATGCCCTAAAAGGTATCATCCAGTCACCCTTTTTATTCCAGCCAAGCACAGCGATGAAATATAGTATGTGTTGTTTATTTTAAGAATTCATAATAGCCTGTGAGGTGCATTTTAAAATCCTGACTCTTGGTGTTGGCATTCAGCATTCACCCTAAGACGATCTGAGAACACCCATGAGTTCTCCTGAATAAATTCAAACCAAAGGGACGTTTCATGTGCTAATAACAGATAAAGATGTTTATGTTATGTTAAAAGTAACAGGCTTGATGCATTCCTACAAAGGAAATACTGAAAAGGTTGAGGAGTAAAACATTTTCAGATTGACTCTGACTTCCCTCATTTAAGTTTCCATTCGCTCACTCGAGCTCCAGCTGAGGTCTGTCTCCCTGATGAGCAGCGTGGTGTGTTACACAGTATTTTGACTGGATAATACATTTAAGGCCATGGCATGAATGTGCCTTTTTAATCATTTACACATAAATATCAGCACTGACCTTAATTAAATGAACATTCCTTGTTTGTAAAACCACACCTATTAGTGGTGCATTTAATGTCTTCCTTTCACTGCTTCTGTATTAACTGTAACTCTAATGTATGAGCTGTGTGTTGAGACAACAATATTAGACCTTTATGTTTGCCATATGATTGCCACTGTCTTAATTTGATCCAGCAGGGTCACCTAAAGTAAAAATTCATGTGATCAAAATGCATAAGTGTATATTATGTATGTAAAAGAATGCATTAAATCAGCAATAAAGCAAATCCTTTTAACAGAGAAAAAAACTTTAAACAGGTCAAAATGTGTTTAAACCAAGAAGACTGACATTGATAGGCATCTAGGTGTGTAGTTGGGTATTCACAGGACATGTTTTCCATTATTTTTGGGGACAAAGCTGATATTCATGACTGGTAACACTTCCACATCCCCCCTCAGCGTTCCTTACTCCGACATTCCCTACATTGTGTTCCCTCGCCGTCAGCGCTGCTGGCCAAGCCTCAAACTGCTGTCCCACTCTGGAATATTCACCGGCTCTCTCGCACCCGGCCAGCTGCAGTGGCTGCTAATATTAACCATGAGTCACTGAGCAAGGAGGAGGAGGGGGACAGGGAGGGAGCTGGGAGCTTCTGGAAACCTAGTTACAACTATATAAGCAAAGCGCCTGAGTCAGAGCAGGCATTAGTTTAAGAAAGAACCACACAGAGGCAAAAGCTGCTGCAAAGGAAACTACTAAAGGAGACTCTGCTGAGATCCTTCAACATCCTCAAGCAACAGAGAGCTCATCCCTGAAAGTAAGTAGCAACTATTATACCATTAAATAATAAATTAATTCATTTAAATGGAAATATCGAAGCAGATTTCTTAATGTTAAGACACATCTGTGATGGTGACGTGTTCATCCTCAGGCATTAATTGAATCTACTTGTTCACTAAAAGATATATTTTAAACTTACCAGCACCAATGCATCAATTCTGCTTTATATTATGTCTTTATTAATGGTGGTATGAAATTAATTTCACAGTACATTAGAGAAACAGTTGAATTTAAGTATAATTAAATTAAATTATAAAAAGGTGTTAAAATTACTTAAAGCATGTAGTTTGAGCTATTTTTAATATAGAAAAACATACAAAAATTATTATATTTTATGACTGACATGTATAAGAGTTATTATTATTTTTATTTATTTATCTATTTTTTTTTTTTCAACAATAGAGCAATATCATAAGATTAAATTTGTGTAATAGACAGTGCCCTTGGCTGTGTATGACTAGTAATAAAAAGGTTTTTCAGTCAGGGTTTCTTTAAGTATAACTGCACATTTCTCTGTGATATTTATGTGGACAAAAATTATCGCACTTCAAACATGTTATCAACATTACTGACATTAATAATTTAGTAATTAGCTGTATTTGATATTGAGCTGCATTGTGCTTTCATGTCTAGCATAAGAAAATTAAATTAAATTAAAATTAAAATGTGATTTCCCCCCATTTTCCAGGAACTCTAAAGCAACGAGCAAGATGTCCTCAGCTAAGGGAATTTCTATTGGCATTGATCTGGGCACCACCTATTCTTGTGTCGGGGTTTTCCAGCATGGAAAAGTAGAGATCATTGCCAACGACCAGGGCAACAGGACCACCCCCAGCTATGTAGCCTTTACCGACACAGAGAGGCTCATAGGAGATGCTGCCAAGAACCAGGTTGCCATGAACCCCACCAACACAATCTTTGATGCCAAACGGCTCATCGGGAGAAAGTTTACCGATGCTGTTGTCCAGTCTGACATGAAGCTCTGGCCTTTCAAGGTGATCAATGATAACGGAAAGCCCAAAGTCCAGGTGGAGTATAAAGGGGAGATGAAGGCTTTCTACCCAGAAGAAATCTCCTCTATGGTCCTGGTCAAAATGAAGGAGATTGCTGAGGCCTACCTGGGGCAGAGAGTGTCAAACGCAGTCATCACAGTTCCAGCTTATTTCAATGATTCTCAGAGGCAAGCCACCAAGGACGCCGGGGTGATCTCTGGACTGAATGTTCTGAGGATCATCAATGAGCCCACAGCAGCAGCCATCGCCTATGGCCTGGACAAAGGTAAAAAAGGGGAGCGCAATGTACTCATCTTCGATCTCGGTGGAGGCACCTTTGACGTGTCCATCCTGACCATTGAGGATGGCATCTTTGAGGTGAAATCCACTGCAGGAGACACACACCTTGGTGGGGAGGACTTTGACAACCGGATGGTGAACCACTTTGTAGAGGAATTTAAGAGAAAATACAAGAAGGACATCAGCCAGAATAAGAGAGCAGTGAGGAGACTGCGTACAGCTTGTGAGAGAGCGAAGAGGACCCTGTCCTCCAGCACCCAGGCCAGCATTGAGATCGACTCTCTGTATGAGGGCATTGACTTCTACACCTCCATCACAAGGGCACGCTTTGAGGAGCTCAACTCTGAGCTCTTCAGGGGAACACTGGAGCCAGTTGAGAAGGCCCTGCAAGATGCCAAGCTGGATAAGTCCAAGGTCCATGAAATCGTCCTGGTCGGTGGCTCCACAAGAATTCCCAAAATCCAGAAGCTCTTGCAGGACTTTTTCAATGGCAGAGACTTGAACAAGAGCATCAACCCAGATGAAGCTGTGGCGTATGGTGCAGCAGTCCAGGCTGCCATCCTCATGGGTGACACTTCAGAGAACGTCCAAGATCTGCTGCTGCTGGACGTGGCTCCCCTGTCTCTGGGCATTGAGACTGCAGGTGGAGTTATGACACCTCTGATCAAACGAAACACCACCATCCCCTCCAAGCAGACCCAGATCTTCTCCACATATTCAGACAATCAGCCAGGTGTGCTGATTCAGGTGTATGAGGGCGAGAGAGCCATGACCAAGGACAACAACCTTCTGGGCAAGTTTGAGCTCACAGGTATCCCTCCTGCACCCCGAGGTGTACCCCAGGTGGAGGTCACTTTCGACATCGATGCCAACGGCATTCTGAACGTGTCCGCTGTCGACAAAAGCACCGGCAAAGAAAACAAAATCACCATCACCAACGACAAGGGCCGCCTCAGCAAAGAGGAGATCGAGCGGATGGTACAGGAGTCGGAAAAGTACAAGGCTGAGGATGACCTGCAGAGGGAGAAGGTCGCAGCCAAGAACTCACTGGAGTCATACGCCTACCACATGAAGAGCAGCGTCGAGGACGAGAACATGAAGGGGAAGATCAGCGAGGAGGATAAGAAGATGGTCATTGACAAGTGCAACCAGACGATCTCCTGGCTGGAGAACAACCAGCTGGCGGAGAAAGACGAGTATGAGCATCAGCAGAGCGAACTAGAGAAAGTGTGCAAGCCAGTTGTGACCAAGTTGTACCAGGGAGCAGCACCATCGGGAAGCTGCGGCAGCCAGGCAGGAGGCAACTCCAAGGGCCCCACTATTGAGGAGGTCGATTAAATCTGTGGACATTTACAGAAATACTTTGGCCACAACACTGTTGTTTGGTACTTAGAATAATGTATGTCACCATTTATTTTCTTGACTTGTCATAATAAAAATAATTCAAATTACAATGCTCTTGCAACTCAATTTACAGATGATTTTTGCATGTTTTGACCGACTGTTAGGCTCACTCCAGTCTGAAACTTCATATATAGTCAGCCTTTTCTCTATTTAGAAAGTGAGCATCAGTGTTTGTTGTCTATTTCTGAGGCTTTACTGATAAGACTACCATTTTATTTATCTTAACATCTCACAAAGAGAGCTGGTACTCATCAAACTCACTCTGCAGACTGGTTTTGGCTGCTGGTTCCAATTATACATTCAGAGCTTGGAAAGTTTGCTTTCAGATATGCTGCTCCAGCCTCCAGGAAGAATTTAAAATTGGGTTTAATACTTAATGCTCTTGTGAATCTGTGCAGAAAATGTATTAAAAGGGGGGTGTTTTTGGTAAAGATGCTTGATCGGTTTTGGGGAAATCTAACATTGAGGTTGCAGAACAGAAACTTCACCTGTGTGCCGAGCATATAGGTGAACCAAAGTGGCAGACGTCAGAACACAAATGGCCCTATCGAGAGACAGTGTCTGGGCTACTGTGGGCTAGAAAAACATGGTGGAGTGCACTGGAGAGGATCCATTCCCTATGTAGATATAAACAGCTGATTCTAAGGTAACAAAAACCTATTTTATTTTCAGGTGATTATAAACTAATGAAAACATATTTACAATTATATACCATTTCTGCCAATACAAGTATTTCCCTTGTATGCACATTTACTCCCCCACATTTCAGAGGGAAATATTTACTGTTTGCTTCACTGCATGTATCTTACAGCTTTGCAGATTAAAGGCTCTGCACACCAACACAGGTGATTTCAGTAATTTGGCTGATGAGACCTCTAGTCAGGTTTAAATTAGTCGGAGCTGTGCTGCTAATTATGTGATGCCACAAAGATCTATAAGACTAATGATGGAGGAGGGTGAGGGATGTGTCAGTCAAGAACAGTTTGTAACCCACACAGACCTGAGAAGAAGTCTAATGTGGCAACATGAATGAATACTGTTGTGTTTGTGTAGGAGCTTAAGGTTTTTTAATTAGCAGTGATAAAATCAATAATTAAAAAGAGAGAAGAAAACACTGACAGAGTCCACTCTGCTTAATGAGCTTTTACTTTTTCATAATAGGCTAAGGTTGCATTCTTTTATAAAGTATTCCACCGCGCTCCTATAACAACTCAAGAAAGTATACCAGAGATATTTATTATATTTATTTTCACGCCTTCCGGTCCCTCCAAAACCATCTACAATATCCACAATGCAACTCCAGCGCCAACAGCTGATTCAGGTGATTCAGTAGATTCAGGTGTAATGAGCTTGTAGCCTCAAGCTGTTAGTATCAAGCAGAGATGTGGAGTGGACTACAGAGGTCAGGTAAGATCACTTCAAACTCCACACCCATTTTTATTTTTATTTTTATTTTTATTTTTAAGTTGTTGTTTTTTACTCACATTTTTCAAACTTGCAGTCTTCAGACCAGCCAGTTATCAGACTTCCCACAGCTCCTTCTGGAGCCACAAAGGCTGTATACAACTTTTTTTTTTTTTTTGGCATACCGGTTTGCAATAAGCTAGTAAGGTTAGCCTATTCCAGTAAACAGGCTTTGATAAGTGTAAAATAAATCCAGTTGTAGCAGATTTTTTTTTAAACTGGGCTATTGTAAATCAGCTTAACACCATTTGTAATTAATCTGAGGGGTGAATCCAGAGGGGTGACATATGACCAACTTTACAGGACAGCCCCCAAAAAAAGACAATTCTATGTCCTGACTTTATTGATGTTAATCTTTAATATAAAACTTTTACACATGTAGTCGTATATACACTGATCAGCCAAAACATTTGAACCACTGAAATGAAGTGAAAACATTAATCATCTTGTTACAATGCAATGTTCTGCTGGGAAACCTTTGCTCCTGGCATTCATGTGGATGCTTCTTCACGCCAACTACCCAGACACTGTTGCAGACCAAGAGCCCCACCTCATGGCACAACACTCCAACAACAACCTGATGGCAGTAGTCCTCCCAGTAGGACAGTACACCATGCACCATAACAACTGCTAAGGAATGGCCTGAGGAATCTTACAAAGAGCTCAAGGTGTCGACCTGGTTTCCGAATTCCCAGAGGTCTCCTCGATCCATGGTGAGGTCTCCTTGAATCGGACTGGGCTCTGACCTGTCAAGGCATGAACACAGGACCTCTGGGGGCTGTCCTGTGGCGTCTGGCACCACAGTGTTTTTGGCAGATCTTTTGAGCTCTGGGCTGTGAGGTGGGCTACTGGCATGGATGCTTGAGCAAAGTGGGATCTGGGGAAGTTGTAGGACAGGTTGATGCCTTGAGCTCTCTCACAGTCCTCGAGCTGTTTCTGAGCAGTTCTTATGATGTGAAATGGTGCATTGCCCTGCTGGGGGACCACTGCCATTAGGGAGTGTTGTTGCCATTAGGTGGGGTAGTCAATCTGCAATAGTGTTTGGGTTTGTGGAGTGTGTCAGGGGGCATCCACATTGCATTTGCACTGTAATGAGATGATGAATATTATTCACTTCGCCTGATCGGTATATATGCCAAAGGTGGGAAGAGGTCATTGTTTTGCTGTTCACAAGTAAGTCACAAGTCTTTGCACTTAAATCCTGAGTCAAGACTGACAAGTCTCAAGTTCTTAACTATGAGTTTCCAGTCATTTTGAGTCCTTAACAAGCTATAATGCACCTTTCACAAAATGTTAGAGCCATTTTAACAGCAGAATAGGCTAATATATTACATTTACAAAAATCATTGATGCTTTGTAAAGCTTGTATTTATTTGTCAAAATAAGTTTGTTAAAACAAGAGTGACTGAACTGAATCAGAAAAAGTGCAATGTCAGAAAGTGCTGAAATTTCATGGCACTTTCATGTAGCCTCATTAACCAGTACCACGGCAGAATTAATTTTGTATGTCTCTGTCCTGTCTTGTCTTATTCTCACCTCATTTTGAAAAAATGCGTATAACTTTTATAAGAAGGCTCGAGTCTAAGTGAAGTTACAAGTAATTGGTGTAAAATCCAAGTCGAGGTGCAGGTCTTTTTGGATTTCATCAAGTCGTGTCTACAGTCATTACATTTGTGACTTCAGTCTGACATCAGTCCAAGTCATGCGACTCAACTCCACCCTTTTTGGCCCCAAATATTTGATTGTGTTCAGTGTTCAAGTCTTTTAATTTTGGACTAATAACTCTGGATTGGTTCAGAATTCACAAGTACCCTTTTGTCAGTAGAAAGAGCTCATCAACAGCTTTCATTTAATATAAATCTAACTCATTTTCTCCCATGATGTCACTTATACCCTGCTGGTTCTCACTCATAATTCACTTAAAGATCCACTAGGTGGCGGTCTTAGTTTGTGCACCAACATCATGACTCCTCTAAACACACTGGAGGCCTGGAAGCGACCTGTTGGATCACACTTTGTAGTTGCTCAATAATAATGATAATACCAATAATAATCCAGGAAATGACAGTAAATCACAACTGGAGCTTTCAGCTGAGCTGCTGCTGAAAGTCGAGACTGACATTAATCTTGATATAAAGAGTGATAATATGGCCTGTTTCAAGAGGTTAGACTGCCAAGTTAACATCAGCAGATGTTAAGGACAGTAAAGTAGCTGTTCCTTCTATATTTAGTGGCACTAGTCCTTCAGTCAGTGTGTGCAAGTACAATATGTGGACATATAAACACATGCGATGCGAACAGCCCATGCAATGCTGCAACAGAACAATTCACATTTTGCTTTGATACTTTTTATTTTATGTATTTTTAATTTTTTTTAGAGGTGTTTCTTTACAGTGCGGTCAGACCCGAATATGTAAAACATCATAGCATACCAAAAGCAAACCGAAGTTTGATCATATCTCACACACACACTTCATCAGCACATCCTGTGGGTCTGATTAGAGGGAGTGGTTCAATAATGCACCAGCCTCCGCCGGCAACCAAAGAGTTAAACCGTCGAGAGCCTGTTGTTGAGCGCACCATCCAACCGGGCTGTGTCGCTAAGGGAAGATAGGCTACTTGTGGAGCAGCAACAGATCTCCAGCTGGAAAACTACCCCACATCTGGCACGCGATCTGAGCGGGAAGACCTGGATGAATATCTCAGCGCGCGATTAAATGCGCGACCGGATCATTGTCAGGTTTCCTCGTCTCATGTGGAGAGGAGAAAAGTTGTCAGGGATAGTTGTAGATTTTGGCGTTGCAGAATTTGGATGAGATTTGCCAGAAAAGGCAGCGAGGAGTGACACGTTACTCCAGGCTTAGTGGTTCATCCTGCTGTGCGTAATCAGGCATTTTTGGGGTGCAACAGGCTTGATGAGTGATAAGTGCAACATCTGGAAGAATTCATGTAAGTCACATTTTGTAATCTATTCTAGGAAGAACACATCCAGTGATCCTGAGCATCTGCGTTTTGTTGCGACCCCAGACTGAGTTTTGTAACAGGTGGTTTTTATTGAGCGTCTCTCTCCGGCGCTGTCTGGACCATTACGCTGTTATTTTTTTGGATAGATGAGACGCGCAGGTTCCTATAATGACTGGGGTCTGAAATGAGGGCGCACTTTGCGTTCATTTTCTGATTTTTGTACAGTGGACAGCAGTTTGTAACGGAGAAGGTCCCTGCTTCTCAATGATCAGCTCGGTGTGTGTTTCGTCTTACCGGGGGCGCAAGTCAGGCAACAAACCTCCGTCTAAATCATGTCTGAAGGAGGAGATGTGCAGAGGGGAAGACTCGGACAAAATTATCATCAACGTGGGCGGCACTCGACATGAGACCTACAAGAGCACCCTGAGGACCCTGCCGGGGACCCGCCTGGCATGGCTGGCAGACCCGGACTCGCAGGTCAGCTCTGACTCGGACGCTGCGCCCCCGAGCGCCGAGTTCTTCTTCGACAGACACCCGGGCATCTTCGCCTACGTGCTCAACTACTACCGGACCGGCAAGCTGCACTGCCCGGCGGATGTCTGCGGGCCTCTCTTCGAGGAGG